GCAATGCTAGCAATGATACAAAGTCACATGCTTTTTGTTGTGTTGAATTTTGTAGTGAATGCAATATGGACATTCAGTTTGCAAGGAAGAAACATCTGTAGTTAATTAAATGGAAGAGGAGGGATGGGGGGAGTGGGGTAGACTGCTATTTCCTCTATTTCATTTCTTTCCTTTAATGTTTCAACTTCACTTCAGAGAGGGTCTCTTGGATTGGATAGTCATCATCATATATGGATATTCCCAAAAGAGCTTTCTTTGTCTCAAGCACCAATCACTCTTCTAATCTGATGGTTTTAATACAAACACACTACTTCATGGAATAACAAATATTTAAGCTGTTTTTCCTTAGAAGAAAGATAGTACACCTAATCGGCCCTTTGAGACTCCATAACTCACTCAATACTGCAAAGTAAATTTTTTTGAAATGCCTAACATTGGTGGGAGGTGTTCCTTTTAATATCGATATAAAAATGAGTTTGGGGTTGGTGGGGTGTGCATAGACCACCATCAACTCTTTCTTATGGCACTTATTTGCCTTATTATTTCTGTATTGCTTTTTGTTTCTTAAGTTTTTGTGTCTATTTATAGATAAAATATGAAGATTTAGTTCTCATTTAATACCACACATTCTCTTTATGTCTCTGTTTCTCCTTTCAGTATATTTAAGTTGTCTTCCCTGGTCAAGTCAGTTATTCATTGTTTACGTTGTGTCAATTTATTCATTGCAGTATGTAACATTCTATAATTATATGTGTATCCCCTTTTTTGGTACACCAATTATTTTTTCTGAAGTTAATCATTGCCTCATTTTTTTCAACTGTATCAATTCTTAGTTCATCTCCAAACTTTCCACTAAAGCCCTAAAACTCCCCCTTGATGTGTTTAAGCATCATCTCCCTAGACTTCTCCATCTTCTTCTTCCAAATGGATTGCTTGCTCTGTAGGCTGTCTACATAGCTGTTATTCTGGTGCTTCCCTTCTTCATCCTAACAGTTGCCTTTGAGAATGAATGGAAGTAGAGGGTAAGTGTGAGATGATAAAGTTGTGGTTTTTTTTAATTTTGTACGTCTGAAAATTTTACATTAGTTTGGTTGACTGTAGAACACTAGGCTAGAAATAACTTCCCCCTGTAAAGTCCAGTGTTGCGTTTGCAAAGTTTGATGCCATTCATATTCCTGACCTGTCCCCACCCAACCCCTGGAAGCTTTTCAGATATTTTCTTTTGCCCCTCTTGTTCTAAAATGTCAGAATTATGTGCTTTGATGTAGGTCTATTTTCATTTACAGTTTGAGTACTCCATAGGATTTTAAATCTAAAATGTCATAATTTTCACTTCTGGAAATTTCTCTTATGTTCTTTCTCTGATATTTTCCTCTGCTGTATTTTCTATTTTTCTGTCTAGAAGTGCTAAATCTAAAACTCTTAGAAGAAAACAAAGGTTTTCTTTGACCTTTGGTTTTTTTGATCTTGGATTAGGCAACAGTTTCTTAAATATAACACCAAAAGTACAAGCAACAAAAGAAAAAAAAACAATAAATTGGGCTTCATCAAAATTAAAGTTTTTGCATCAGAAGACACTGCTGATAACACATATATATGGAATCTTAAAAAATAAATAAATAGTCATGAAGAACCTAGGGGCAAGATGGGAATAAAGATACAGACCTCCTAGAGAATGGACTTGAGGACACAGGGAGGGGGAAGTGTAAGCTGGGACAAAGTGAGAGAGTGGTAGTGTGTATAAGGACATATATATACTACCAAATGTAAAGTAGGTAGCTAGTGGGAAGCAGTTGCATAGCACAGGGAGATCAGCTCCGTGCTTTGTGACCAGCTAGAAGGGTGGGATAGGGAGGGTGGGAGGGAGGGAGACGCAAAAGGGAAGAGATATGGGGATATATGTGTATGTATAACTGATTCACTTTGTTATAAAGCAGAAACTAACATACCATTGTAAAGCAATTATACTCCAATAAAAATGTTAAAAAAAAAAGACACTGCTGAGAAAGTAAAAAAGATTAATCACAGAATGTGAGAAAATATCTGTAAATCATGTACATGATAAGGGTCTAATACCCAGAATAAATAAAGAACTATCACAACTCATCAACATAAACAACCCAATTAAAAAATGGGCAAAGGACATATAGACATATTTCCAAGGAAGATATACAAATGACCAAGACTAGCACATGAAAAGATACTCAACATCATTAGTCATTAGTGAAATGCAAATCAAAACCACAATGAGATACCACTTCGTACCCACTAGGATAGCTATTTTTAAAAAAAGAAAGAAAAAGTGTTAGAGAGGATGTGAAAAAATTGGAACCTGCAAACATCGTTGGTAGGAATATGAAATGGTGCAGCCACTGTGGAAAACATTTTTGTAGTTCCTCAAAAAGTTGAACAGAGCTCCCCTATGACCCAGCAATTCTTCTCCTAGGTATGTACCCAAGAGAATTGGAAATATATGTTCACAGAAAAACTCATGCATGAATATTCATAGCCACTTTAGTCTTAATAGCCAAAAAGTGGGAACAATCCAAATGTCTACCAGTTGATGAATGGATAAACAAATGTGACATATCCATACAATGGAATATTATTCAGTCATAAAACAGAATGAAGTATTCATACATGCTACAACATAGATGAACCTTGAAAACCCCATGCTAAGTGAAAGAAAGCAGACACAAAAGGCCATGTGTTATATAATTCTGTTTATATGAAATGTCCAGAATAGACTAAACCATAGGGACAGAAAGTAGATTAATGATTGCCAGGGACTAGGAGAAGGGGGAATGAGGAGTGACTGCTTAATGAGTATGCGGTTTCTTTTGGGAGTGATGAAAATGTTCTGAAAGTAGAAAGTGGTAATGTTTGCATAACTCTGAATATACTAAAAATCACTGAACTGTACACTTTAAAATGCTTAAAATGATGAATTTTGTTTTATGTGAATTTTATCTCAATTAAAAATACATATCTATATACATGTATATAGATATTTATTATTTATATATATGAAAACCTTTATATATATATAATCTTATAAACCTTATATATATAACCTTTAGATGGATGTTACTAGAGTGTACTTTCTATACATATTTTGAACATTTTCATCCTTAGCTTTAGGAAACAAGCATCTGTTTTATCAATACTAAAATTAGAATCATTATAATTTTCACCTTACTTGTAACAGTTTTTAAAATAGTGAAATGTCCGCCCTAGGAGTAGATGCATATTTAATAAGATATATAAGGAAATGCTTACCTGTTTTTTTGTTTACATATGTTAGCCATATTAATGAGGTCTCTAATATTTTAGGTCTAGTTCTTTAATACTGTACACCTTAATGTTAGAACATTTCTATTCAAAATTGATATAGCTTAATCAATGAAAGAAAGTGTGGTATACATTTTTAAAATATACATTCCATCTCTTTTGCAAAAAATTTTTTTAATGTTTTTGTTGTTTAGTTTTGGATGACCTTTGTTAAAACTATTAGTAAGTGTTCCTGAGATTGCAAAAAAGTTAACACAAATATTTATACTAAACATTGCCTAATATTGGCAATAAAAAAATGTGCAGCTCTGAGTAATAGTTAAGACAATTATTTGACTGAATTCTCATAATCGAACTTTTATTGAATGCTTAACATGTGGCAGGTACCATTCTCCGCATTTACATTTTTAACTCATTTATTACTTACAACAAACCAATGAAGTAAATACTATTATCTACATTTTTTCCGTTAATCAGTGGAGGCATATAGAGGTGCTACTAGTGGTCAGTGTAACCACAGACACAACTCTAATGTAAAGTCAAGATTTGAATCTAAACAGTCTGGATGCAGAATTCAAATTCATAACTGCTGTGTTGGGTTGAACTATATGCCTCACAAATATTTGTTTCCATTGGAAAAATAAGTTACTTTATATTTTGTAAGAGATTAATGCTTTGCTAGGAATGATGTATTCAGAGTTTTAATGATACAACTAGTTTCTAATAGTGGCATATATTATAGAGTGAATCCACTTTGAGATCTTTTAGGAGATGACTAAGATATATGATGGTTACTGTATTTCTAGGTGATTAGTTGACATGATTCTAAGCATAAGTAAATTTGATCCTGAAAAGTAAAAGTTGCAACTTCGACTAATTTATGACGTGGCACAAGATTATGTTTACTATCCAAATGCCCCACATTATCTTTATGATTCTAGGTAATAAAAAAACAAAATTATTGCTGGTGCTTTCCTTCTGCAAAAATCAATGTGTACCTTTTTCTTTGGATTATTTCTATAGTACCTCTTCACAAAACCATGTTTCTATATGTTTTCTGGTAGCCACTCAGTAGGTCACTCAGTAGTAGGTCAGCTTCCAAAAAAGAAAAGAAAAATTGGAATTCAATGTCTCTTCATTTAATCAGAGATTTTAAATTCTATTTTCATTTTTAAAAGAAGATCATAGGCTTGCAGGTGCAAAACTAATGTGTGATATGGGCAAAATAAATGTCTTTATTCTTAGTTGTTACTTCACCCATTATTTCGGTGAATGAGTTTTTTGAATTCTAGAATTACAAACCAGTAAACAGATTACGCACATGCTTTATTTTTACCTTGTGGCAAACATAACAATAATTACATGTAATACATAAGTGCTAATTCTAGACTTTGCTTGAAGTGTATAAATTTTTCTAATGATCATAGCCTCTTGCAATAGCATTTGATTTTTGCTAGTATAAAAATTTGAGTATTTTCTTTAAATTCTAATTCACTGGTAAAAATTTAAACTTCACATTTAATATTATGTAAACCCTCTTTCTCTGCTTTAGAAATATCTATATTGTCATGATTTTATGCTTGAATCAATTTGAAGTTGTCAATTTTTAATACATTGGAAAGTTCTAGTATTGCTAATATGATTTAAGAAAATTTTCACTTTTTTTTTTTACCACAGATGCTCAGTAATATGTCATTCTGTTTTCTTAGGAACTTCCTGCACCATTACTTGATGATAATTGTAAAAAAGAATGTGATGAAGACATATATAATCATAAAACAGAATCTAACATTAAGATGAAAATAGCTTGGCGTTACCAGTTATTACCCAAGATGGAGGCAAGTCAATAAACTGTTTGTAAAATTTGCAAATATATTTGTTTTCATTTTACAGGATCTCTTGTGGTATACTTGGTATTCTTTAAATGTAATACAATGTATATTTGTTTATTTATTTATTTATTTTTTGCGGTACGCAGGCCTCTCAATGTTGTGGCCTCTCCTGTTGCGGAGCACAGGCTCCGGACACGCAGGCTCAGCAGCCATGGCTCATGGGCCCAGCCGCCCTGCGGCATGTGGGATCTTCCCGAACTGGGGCACGAACCCGTGTCCCCTGCATCAGCAGGCAGACTCTCAACCACTGCACCACCAGGGAAGCCCTATATTTGTTTATTTAAATAATTAGTTATTTCATTTGTAAAGTATCTTATCAAGATGACTTTTTCCCAGTTTTATTCTGAAATAATTGACGTATGTCACTGTATAAGCTTAAGGTGTACAGCATGGTGGTTTGATTTACATATATTGTGAAATGACTGCTAGAGTAGGTTCAGTTAACATCCATCATCTCATATAGAGAAAATGAAAAGAAAAGAAAGAAGAAAAAGAAATATTTCCCCTTGTGATGAGAATGCTAGGATTTACTCTCTTAACTTTCCTATATATTATTCAACAGTCTTAGCTATAGTCATCATCATGTACATTATATCCCTAGTACTTATTTACCTTATAACTGGAAGTTTGTAACTTTTAACCACCTTCCTCCAATTCTCCCTCCCACTACCCTCTGCCTCTGGTACCCAACGTCTAATCTGTTTTTTCTGTTAGTTAGTTTCTGTTTTATTTTGTTTTGTTTTTAGATTACACATGTGAGTGAGATCATACATTATTTGTCTTTCTCTGTCTGACTTATTTCACTTAGCATAGTGCCACTAAGTTCCATCCTTGTTGCAAATGGCAAGATTTCCTCATTTTTTATGACTAAACAATATTCCATTGCATATATCTCACAACTTCTTTATTCATTTACCCATCAATTGACACTTTGTAAATAAAGCTGCTATGAACATAGGGTTGCATATACCTTTTTGAGTTAGTGTTTTCATTTCCTTTGAATATATTCCCAGAAGTGGAGTTGCTAGATCATATGGTAGTTCTATTTTTAATTTTTTGAGGATCCTCCATACTACTTTCCATAATCACTGCACCAATTTACAATTCCACCAACATTGCACAAGGGTTCCCTTTTCTCCACATCCATGCCAGCATTTGTTGTCTCTTATCTTTTCCATGATGGCTGTTCTAACAGGTGTGAGGTGATTATTTTAACAACTTAACATTGTGGTTTTAATTTGCATTTCCCTAATGACTATTGTTGAGTGTATTTTCATGTACCTGTTGGTCTTTTTAATTTTGTCTTTGGAAAAATGTTTATTCAGGTCCGTTGTCCATTTTTAAATTAGGTTAGTGTTTTTTTTTACTATTGAGTTATATGAGTTTTTAAATATATTTTGGATATTAACCCCTTATCAGATACATGTTTTGCAAAAAATTTTTCCCATTCCATAGGTTATCTTTTCACTTTATTGATGGTTTCTTTGGCTGTACAGAAGCTTTTTAATTTGATATAGACATGCTTGTTTATTTTTTATTTTGTTGCATATGTTTTGGGTGTCATATCCAAAAACTTATTACCAAGACCCATGTCAAGGAGCTTTATTCCTGCGTTTTCTTCTAGGAGTTTCATGGTTGCAGGTCTTACATTTAAGTCTTTAATGCGTTTCAAGTTAATTTTTGTGAGTAGAGTAAGATAGGGGTCCAGTTTCATTCTTTTACATGTGAATATCTAATTATCCCAGCACCATTTATTGAAGAGAATGCCTTTTCTGTATTGACTATTCTTGGCTACCTTGTCAAACATTAGTTGACCATATATGCTTGGGTTTATTTCTGGGTTTTCAAGTCTGTTCCATTGGTCTATTTGTCTGTTTTTATGTCAGTATCATACTGTTTTGATTAATATAGCTTTATAGTATAGCTTGAACTCAGGAAGTATGATGCCTCCTGCCTTGTTCTTCTCTCTCAAAATTTCTTTGGCTTTTTGGGGTCTTTTGTGGCTTCATATAAATTTTACTAGTGTTTTTCTCCTACCTCTGTAAAAAATGACATTAGAATCTTGATAGGGATTGTACTGAATCTATAAATGGCTTTTGGTAGTATTAACATTTTAACCATATTAATTCTCCCAACCCATGAACATGGAATACCTTTCCATTTATTTGTGTCTTCTTCAATTTCTTTCATCAGTGTCTTGTAGCTTTCAGAGTAGAGATCTTTCACCTCCTTGGTTAAATTTGCTCTTAAGTATTTTATTGTTTTTGATGCTATTGTAAATGGGATGATATTTCCTAAAAATAAAATTATGGTTTGTTTTTTTTTTACCCAAATAGATTATTGCATTTCTTCCATAATCTCCCTATAGAATCTTTTATTCTAGGGTTGCAAGACAGAGTAAGTGAACTAATTAAGCCATTTCTATCTAATATAGTTGCCTATAAATATTCAATATAAGTAGTGGTTCTTTGGAATTACTGTTTTTATTCCTGTACATTTCATTTTCAACCATTACATTTTCAAGCTGTCTGGTAACCTCTCCTATCTAGGATAAACTAAGAGACAGGATGTGAGGGGAAATTTTCTGAGAAGTCAAAACACATGTCAGTAAATCTGCCTACTAAATAAAGCTTATGAACTCTGCTCCTATTGAAGGCCCCTCCATTTGATTGTTTCCTTCATTCATTTTTCAGAACACTTTGAAGTCTACCAGACATTATCATACTGGTAGAAAAGTGGGGGAAATTCTATCTGAATAAGACAATTCCCATACTCCACACTTCTCTAGTTTTCCACATTGACATCAGTGTTACCTTTCCCAATTACAGAAATATGTTTATAACACCTCTTAACTGAAAATGCCTAATTTGGTTTCCTGTTTCCTGCCCCCTTCTAAATGCATGGCAGACTGTCAATCACATTACCTTCTTGCCAGCCTTAGACATAGCCTTAGAATTCTCTGCAGAATGTCTGGGTGGTCACTACCAGTTAATAAGAATTAGAATGTGAGATGAAACCCATTATAAACCCACAATGTGAAATATAAAATTCTCAAGTTGTATACAAGATTTATACCACCTAATCCAAGCCTACCTTTTTAGTCTCTGTCCTGTGTGTATATAAAACACTATATTCACCCATCCTATGAGGACTGCTCTTTGTGAATTGCTTGTATTTTTGCTGGTGATGCTTTTCACTTTCTTATTCACCAACTCATCCTTCTCCAAGGGCAAATGATATATAATTATCTAATTTCTTATATTTGTTTCCATAGCACCACATGCATTTTAAAGTACTTCTCTACATTGTTTTATAGTTAGTTGGTAGTATAATTCTTTTCTCCACCAGACAGAATTCTCTAGAGGACAGAGAGCTTGTTTTATTATATTTTCTGTTGTATCTCCAGCACCTATGTTAATGCCATTTATTCATTCAGTCAGAAAATATTGATTAAGCATCAACTGTGTACCAAGTATAAAATGTGTTGTAATAGGTGGATATTAAGCAATGGTAAATTGTTCTAATTTAGGTGGGAAAGCTATTTGAATAGTATCATTTTTAAGTGAGATTTATTTAAATGACTGTGAACAAACTACAAATAGGAGAGGGGTTATTTGCAACTCACAGTAGAATAAGGAATAGTCTACCAACTAAATTTTTGAAAACAGGAAAAAAAGTAAAAAGGAAACTTAGGTAGTCCTTAAACATACAAGAACAGATGCCAAATTTCAATTATAATAAAAGAAATGCAAATTAAAACTATACTGGCCTGCCATTTTTCTATTATTAGATTGTCAGTAATCTAAAATGTTTGGTAAGACACTAAATTAGCAAAGGTGGGAAGAAACTAGTACTCTCATACTTTGCTGGTAAAAATGTAAATAGGTACAGCTTCCGTGGAGGGTAGTTTGGCAGTGTCCTTCAAAATTACAAAAACGTATACGCTTTGATTCTTTTGGAAATTTACGTCATGAATATATTTACTCAGATGTACAATGAATTATGTATGACCTACTTATGAGGCATTTTTTTTAATAATTAAAGATTGGAAATAACCTAAATGTCCATCAATAAGCAACTAGTTAAATAAATTACAGTATATGTGGACAGTAGAAAACCATACATTTGTATTAAAAAGTGAAAGGAAGCTCTATGTAATCAGAATTTGTTACAGGCATAGCTTAGAATGGGGTTGAAAACTGGGTACAAGAGACCAGAATAAATGTAGTTATTCTGCTTGGGAAAACGTGAGTTAGTTTACAAAGATTAAAACAGACAAGCAATGTAGGGACTAGCACTTGAGAACCCTAATAGCAAAGAACTTCATGCCTTTAATCTGGCTGATTCATTTAAGTAACTGGGCTTAAGGGTGACTCTTTTGTAAAGAGTGACTGTATTTCTAAATTTTTCTACTGGTATGTTCTGAAAGTCATTAAGAACGTAAGCTCTAAGTTGAATTTAGCTTTTGTGTAAAGACAATATACCAATTCAGTTTTAGATCATATAAAATACTTGTATCTTCCATTTCTTTTATTTTTACTCTTAGCTAGGTTTTGGTCTTTTCGTTGGTCACTAACATTCTTGAAGTGAAATTGTCAGTGAAAATGCAAGTGATTGAAACTTTAAGCCTTTTTTTCTTGCTGCTTCTTATAAAATCTGTTTAAACTTAGGGAGAAAGTTCTTTGTTTCTTTATAGTTAATTGTCTCCTTCTATATTGTAATTACAGATGCCATTCCTGCCCCCTTTCACATATGAGTAAATACTGCTTGCTCTGTTTTTACTTTTAGAGTATGGTGTGCTTGCCGTTGTTATTATGGGGGTAAACTTCTCAGAGGTTACACATTAACACAAGCCTCAGTTTTCAAGGCTTACAGCTTCAGTGTTTTAAACATTATGCTCTTACAATGATGTTCTCCAGACGACTTATTTTCCCATTTTCTTCAGGACTCCATTAAAATATCACTTTATCGGGAATGTCTTCCTTTGTCACTCTGTATAAAATAAAACCTCTCTCTCTTTCTCTCATCCCCTTTCACTACCATTTCTCTTCAGGGTACTTGCCATCATCTAGCAGATAATATATCATCCATCTCCTACTAGAGTGTGAACCAATGAGAGAAAAAGACTTTTACTATTTTGTTTTACTGGCATATGGCAGGTGCTCAATAGTTATTTGTTGAATACAGGAGTGAATGACATATAGTTTGTGAATTAAATGTTAAAGTGAGTTGAGTTGTATTAATTAATACACATAAATTAGCAGCTTATTTTGAATTTACAGTCAATGGTCAAACTTAAGTTTACTGGTATTTACAAGTAAGTTCTGTCAAGTTTAGAAAGTAGAATCATCTCTGGCTTCTTTGCTTTTCTTTGAAATGTCACTAGCATGTATATTTGCCTGTAACAGAAATTTTATATATGATCATTCGCCAAGACTGAGTAGACTTTGAGGATCACCCTTCACTATCTACTTTATAAATCCAGACCTTACCTTGCCATTATCATTTTAAAAACAACAACAGTAAAACCCTGGTTTTCTGTATTTTACTTGGGACAAACTATAGTTTACACTATTATGAGTAAAGATTAAACAAGTAGTCCAAAACATAATGTAACAGAAAGGTATTTGGTTGATTATTAGAGATGCCTCTTAATTCAAGTCATCACCAGGTCCTTAAGAGTGTAGTCATATTCCCATTTAGGGAATGCAAAAAAGGATAAGAATACATACACCTAAATAAATAACAGTAGCTCAGTAAAGTGTAAAGTAGTGCTTCTTCCTGTTGGAGGCATGTGTAGTTTTTAGAAGCCTACCTTCCCTCATCCTGTGATTTTGATTTTCTCTCCTACATGGCCATGCCTCCTTCTTTCCTATCCAGTCATCAAACCCTATTCCCTCTTCACCCCAAGAATTCATAGCCTGCAGCATATTCTGAGACTTAAGTTTTTCAATATTGTAGAGCTCTACTACCAAGGCCTACCATGGCTCCAGCAATTTATGACAGCATATTAGATCTTTATTATAGTAAATCCTCATTACACTTTGAATTTCCATCTTACTGGTTCAGCTACAACAGTCCTGTGATAGATGTGTGCATGTTGTAGATGACAACAAATACCATTTTTCCAATAAAGCAATGTAATTGCAAAGGATAGTGATGGATCTTCTGATTCTCTGGTGAATCATGACACAATAATAATAATTAATAATATTTATGTAGCACTTTATAATTTACAAAATAGTCATTTCCAGTATTGCATTAGATTCTCACAACAGCCTAGTGAAATAGTTATTATTAGCTCTGATTCCTGGTGATTGAACTGAGGCTCAAAATGGTTTAGTAACCGTTTGGGTTCTTGCTTTCTGTTATGCCATGCTGAGAAACAAAAAATGATAACAATAATAAGAAAATGTCTTATTTAGACTGTTTATTTGTGGTGCAGCTTTTCTCTGAAATTTTTCTTTCTTTCTAACATACTTAAGTTGGGGGATGGTATTGTTTTGTTGCTCTGTGCTCCTCCTGAACCCCCATCAGAGTTCATTCTCCTTTGGCATAATAAATTTTTACTGAACCATTCCATTTTACTCTCTTCCACAGTTGACAAAGTTAAAGAGTAGTTTATGAATGTGAAATAGAAGTTTTCATAATGTAAAACTAAAGCAACGTGTCTTATCAAACTGAGTAAATGGAATAGTTATTGCTGATAGTTTAATTTTTTTAATGCATTTACTTCTTCAGGAAGTTGATAGGTTTTCATGGATTACCATTACTACTACTACTAATTTAAAGCATTTTGACCTTTTTTTAGAGGAAATATTTTAAGTCTTTGTTTTACAATTCTAAGCCTCAGAAGATTTCACAGCATTCCAGTTATCTGATGATATGTTAATGCTATGTGTGTTGGGTAGAAAAAAACTTACAAAATTGTTTTTCCTGTAAGAGTATATTTAATTTTCATTTTCATTTTTTATTGAAGCATTAAAGTTTCTCATCATTAATAAAATGGTTAGTGTCTGCCTTGTGAATATATTAGTTGCCCTATCTAATACTAATTTCTAAAAAATTAATAATTTAGTTTTAATAAGAAAAGCTTCCAAATTTATTTTTACATTTTGATTAATTATTTGTGTTCTGTATGTAAACTGTCACAGCATGAAATCAATTTTCTGCCTTGATTCATCCCAAATCTGAGAGTTCTGTCACTTTAATATTATAATTAGGAACATTGATAGAGACGGCAACTTAAAAAGCATACTTTGCTTCTTGGCAATTTAGCATATTTCTCAAAGTGCATAGGATTTCAAGAACCTTCAGTCCACTAATAAATTTATTAACTCAAACTTAAAAGAAGCGAAAAGTCTCTCTTTCTTTCTCTCTCCCCATGGCCAGTCCGCCAAAATAGATTATTCATGCTTATTTGATTCAGGTAGGCTTTTGCAAGCTTCCCTACTAGGCCTGGGAATGTGGTACATTGAGGCCTTTTCAGAGGCTTCTGACATAGACCAAGCTTTTATTGCATGGTGTTTTATTATTACCAAATCCTAGTCTCCACCCAGTTTGTAGGCACTCTGCTTATTCTTTTGAATCAGGAAAGGTTATCACCTACCTTAATCCATACAGCAGTGTGGATTAAGGACACCAGTGTGCCCCAGGATTCTCAAAGAGGATCCTGGAAACTTCTTGTTTCTTCTTTTTTGCTGTCTTTACTAAATTCTATTGGGCCTTAGGGGGATTTGCATCTGAAATGGGCAACCTGGTGTTTTTCTCAATGAAGACATCAGATCAAAGTTCAGTTAGTCAAGGCCTTTCTAAAACATTAAGGGGGTTTGGACTTACACAATAAAAAGATGAGCTCTAGCAGAGATTGCAGTAAAAACATTCTGAACTATAATCCGGATAAAGAATAGATTATAGGCCAAAGAACAGACCTTGTTTAAATTGCTTTAGACTAATAACTTTACATTTAAAAACTTTACATCCTATTTTTAAGAGACAAATTTTAATGTGACATAATGTATTTGTCAGTACTTTTCGTGGCAAATAGATAAATCATGTTTTTGAAACCATACTTCTGTTTATATTGTATTGAAAAGATTAGATTAAGCCAACTGATAGGTCTCTTTCATTAATGAAAATAAACAGTACCTTATGGAGGAATGAACAGCCATTTTATCTAGAAAATAAGTGTCAAACCCTCGGATTCTGAATCTGAGAATAATGTGTCTATTAGACTTTAATTTTTTAATTCTCTATTACTATATAATTTGATGTTTGTAGGCATTTAAGAATATGAATTCTTGAAGTCTTAAAATGCAAATATCTAGTGTCAAACAAATGTCTCTTTCTTCTCTAAATTTCAAAGTTGTCAGTTACTTAGTAAAATAAGTTAAGAACCTACTGTGTATAATTCTTTAGTTTCTGTAAAGATTATCTAGTTTTGTCGAATGTTCTGAAACTTGTCTGTTTTGTAGCATTCAAGACAGTGGAAGTTAAGTAAATTTAGATCAGAGACTTTATTAGAAACTATTGCCAGATGGAATCTGTCACTAGTTCAACTTTGGATAGAGGTATATTTGAATAGAGATATATTTCTAATGTGCTGAATGAAAGAAATCAGCCAGAGTCTGTTCAAAGCAATGTAATAATAATGTTGTATTACTGAGCTTCAACTATCCTATGTAATTAAATTCAGCATCAATAGCTATTAGAGTTTCTTATAAGAAAGATAATTGGTTGGAGAAATTGTTAGTAGAGGGTACAAAAGAGGAATTATCAATGAACTAATGAATATGCCAGGTTTCTGATTTAACTAATAGAGCTTATGTACATTCTCCCACTGTATCATGTACCTTGTTCCTATCTGGAATATCCCAGTATATTTTATACTGTTAGCTCAATTTTAAGTTTGTGAGAAGTTTTGAATACTATATATACACATGGTCTTATGAGAATTTAGTTTTAAAATGATGCTCAGTTTAATGTATATAAATAGCTAGTTTCTTTTGGGCCCCTCAGCAATGAAATAATGTGGCTTAAGTTTTCTTTTCATTCTTAGTAACTGTAAATTTATTTTATTTTTAAAACTTGAAGTCTTAAATGTTAATTGAGTTATGTATATAAAATTTTTGGACTGAGGAAGGTATAGTAAAAAGGCAAAGAGGTGTTCAATTTCTTATCAAACTTAGGGAACCACCAGGAGTGAAGATACCTGGGAGATGTAAAGGTTGATTTCTAACTATCAATAGTTTATAATAATAAAGATTGTTATATGCTTCTTTGAAATTTAGTAAGTCTATATATATCAGCTCTTCCTTATTTGCATTAAAATGCATAAATATATCAGAATTTTGCTGAATGTAGGATAAATAAATTGCAGTTTAAAGAAAAATTTTTAACAAACAATATGGGTTTTCTTATCAGGCTAGACCAGTATCATCTTCAAGATTTGGTCACTATTATGATGTATCAAAAAGGATACCACAAGAACTAATTGAGGCTTCAAAATGGCATGGATTTTTTCTTCCAGAAAAAATATCATCAACTCTTAATTTAGAACCCTGGTAAGTTAATGATTTCAATTTACCACAGTGTTTGAAAGAATGCATATTTAAAGGTACATATCCTAATAAATGTTTTCTGTATAATATGTAACCTTAATTGTACATGTTTCATATTATTTCATTATATATGGTTTTCTTCTTTTTCTCATCCTGTAACTGTTGGACCTACTATTACTCTTAATTTGCAACTTGAGAAATCTGGATACCAAATTTACAATGCCTGCTTTTTTTATTTTCAATAAAATGTGAAATAGTTCTATATTAGGGTCTTTCAGCCCTAAGTGCACATGGATACCTAAATATTGCTTATTGATAATAATAGTGAAAATGGTATAAAATCATGCTTTTGCTCCATGTTTTTTGATACATGCTCTTTCAGAAAGTAAACAAGTACTCTTTTCTAACATTTTATTTATTAAGGCTTTCTACTTCTAGTTATGCTGTAAATAAAATAATCTGTATTTTTTTAGATAACAAGAGAATTTAGGGTTTGAGTTTTGCAATGAAAAGTTTTAAGTAATAAAATAACAACATATATGGTGTTACTAACTGTATTAAAGCACAACTCTGAAAATTACAGTACTTGACATTGAATAATTTATGAAGTATTAGGAATATTTAATTTCAATTCTTATTGCAGTTGGATCAAGGGAAGATAATTCACAGAATAGGTTGTTGCCTCTGTTTTCTTTCACACTGTAAAACCTTTATTTTCAAAATGAGATGAGTTATTAAATGGAAATTTAATAGATAGGAAGTTGTGAATGGAAATGACTTAAAAATATAGATTCTCTTTCCCAGAAATATTGCATGAAAATTTAGTGGAGACTGTCCTATTTATTTTTATTAAATCTCTTTCCAAAAAAAATTATTTATTAGTGTATTCTCCAGTCCATATGGCTGGAGACTTACGGAAAATGGTGCTTTGATGATGCTTTAGTGTTAATAGCTGCCATTAATGAATGACTGCTATGTGTCAATCACTCTACTACATACTCTACATTTGTTATCTAGTGTAATCCTTGTATCAGTCCTATAAAAGTTTGTACAGTATTCCCATTTTCCAGAAAGAGATACCAAAATTCACAGAGGTGATTTATCTGAGCCTCAACTATTAAGTGATCAAACCAGGATTAACCTAAGTCAGAAGATCCCTCTCTTTTTTTTTTTTGCCTTACTGCTTCAAAGGACTTCGGTGTCCTTCACCTTTATCTTCTTGTGTTGTATAGTAAAGAGCACTGATAAAGAAATTAAAAATCTGGGTTCTGGTACTGAGTTCATCCTACTGTTACTCTTGGGCAAATCCCTTAAATTCAGTGAAAATAGATATCCTCTTTTGAAAAATAGGGGCAGGGTATGGGGGTTCTAGGAGGAATACCACCTGTCCTTCCTGTATCACTAATATTTTATTAAGTTTGAATGATTATATTGATTATACTAGTTCCTAATTTTTGTCATTCACTGAACCAGACATACATATACATATACTTGGGAAATAGGTAAAAATAGTGTTTCCATGATTTGTCAAATAGTAAATCATGGAACCCAGATTCAAAGTCAGTTCTTTCTGACTTCAAAAAATCTGTGTTAGCAGTAATGCTATCTGTACTGCCTCCATTCATGGAGTGCTTAGGGAAATGAAAAATGTACATTAAGTATGATGTAAATACATGAAAAATAATATAGTGTTACTTTTGTAATTAAAAAAAAATTAAGGATAAAACATTCTTTAAGCCAGAAAGTACAAAGTGTTTTTCATTTGTTCAGCAACTAAAGAGAGGAGGGAATTAAAATTTGTCAATTTTCTGTTCAGTGTCAGGCACTGTTCTAGGCATTTGACCGTGGGATATCTCATTGAATCTTCCCAACAACCCTCCAAGAGAAGCAATATTATCCCCACTTTATAGGAAACTTGAGGTCAGAGACGATGAGCAGCTTTGCCACTGTTTCAGGCTCTGAGTGACTAAGCAGACACCCAAACCCAAGTATCCAAAACCCTCTGCTCTCTTTTCTGTACCAGGCTGTCTCCATTTACTGCTGCAGTAACTGTACAGCACACAAAGCTGGGCACCTGAAAAATTAAACCTTATTGGATGTGGAAATATAGTCTTTAAAGTATATTTTAAGAATATTTTTGAGAACTAACAGCTTTGCATGGAACAGGAAAATTTATAGATTTTAATTACCAGGGCAGTATTTCATTTCATAGTGGTTAACTGATAATTCATTTATTTCATATTAAACTTAAATGCTTAATTAAATGTAATTAAACTTTAAACATGTAATTAAATTAATTTTGAAAATGGGTACTTTACCATGTGAGATTTATTTTAATTTATGAAAAGCGTGTGCTCATTTCACTAAAATGAACTTTACTGGTTCATTTATAAAACAATAAAGCTAAGCCTTACAGTTGTCCTTACTTTTCCTATAATTAAGACTAGAGGATATAGCTGCATCCCACTATTGTGTGTAAGGATATAATATATAATTTTATAATTTCTAAAGGCACTGTTGAAACATATAAAGATTTTTTTACAGTAAGAAAACCGGAAGGTCATTTAAAATCTGCACTAACTAATTTTAAATTATTGGTAGGTTTGCCAATGGAAAATGTTCACACATACAGTTTAAACTTTCAAGTTGAAGACTAGGTATAAAAACCTGAGATGTATCACAATAATATTACCCAGATAATTTTGTTTTGATATTTCACTGTTATAAGTCTGATAATCTCAATCATAAAGCAATGACAGAAAAACTGATTTTGAGAATAAGTTGGTAGCCTACAAATTTAAAATGAAGTAAGCTTTGCTAACAGGTATGCCCAAGCACAGTTCTGTTTCCTCACTAGAAAGATATTGTCATTATTTATTATTTATTAACGAATCTACTAACATACTGCTTATCCAACTGTTACAGACTGAATGTTTGTGTCCACCCCACCCCCTGCCAAATTTATGTGATGAAGCCCTAGTCCCAATGTTTGGAGATGGGGCCTCTGGGAGTTAATTAGAGTTAGACGAGGTCATGAAGGTGGAGCCCTGGTCTGATAGGACTGGTGTCCTTAAGAAAAAAAGGGAGAAACACAGAGCTCCCCACTCTCTTCTTGAGTAAACACCCAGGAAAAGCCATGTGAGCTCACAGCGAGAAGGTGACCATCTGCAACCCAACACTAAACCTGTGAGCACCATGATCTTGGACTTCTAGTCTCCAGAACTGCAACAAAATAAATTCCTGTTGTTGAAGCCACCCAGTAGTTTGTTATCGTACCCCAAGCCAACTAATACACCTATAATATTGTGAAATGTTACTTTTTAAATTATAGATATGTTAGGTCTTGAATATTGAGTTTACATAAAGTTGGCAGTAAATAGAATGATTTTGTTTTGATATGTTTCTTTGAAATTCAAGATTTTACTTTGCATATCTACGCTAACAATAGCTAATAGTAGCTAAAAGTTTTGTATTAAGTTGAATGAACTGAATTCTGAGAGAACTAGTTATCTTTCTAGGAGAATTTCTAGGAGAAAAACAGTGGAAAGCGGATAGGAATATTACTTAAGATTTTAGGAGTCTTTTTTTTCTTTTTTTTTTTTTATCCTGCCAAGTCTCTTTACCAGAGTAAATGGAACCTCTATATAAGCCTCTGTAGTATCTTCCTAGACAAATTGTAGCTATGCTTCCCATACATTCCTACTAGTATTCCTTTGTTCATACTTCTGTCAGAACACTAATCTCATTACACTTAATTATTTGTCTTGTCTATATTCTTATCTTCCCCCTCAAGCATTGGAAATCCTTGAGGAAAGGGTTATGCTTTTTTCATCTATTTATTCTCTGAATCTAGGACACAAGTGTTGAGTTGATAGTTGATGAATTAGTGAATCAATGCACAAAGTATAGTAAGAACTCAAATTAACTATAGTCTTGTTCTTAGCACAAAGATTTAGTGGGATGAAACTGGGTAACTGAAACATAGCCATGTAAGAGTATATTTTATTTCAAAAATACAGATCTCAGATTGAGAAGCAGAGAACCACAGTATATTTAGAAGTTACAAGCAGAAAATTCACTCACGAGAAAGGAATTTTGAAAGAGAACTTCTAGGTAAGATTAAAAGTTCAGAACAGAAGCCATAAAGTTATGGAAGTATACTATAAACTACTCTATTAAAAGGAAATAGTAAATGATATATCAGTCAAATCTCAGAGCTAGGGGAAAGGAAGATGTAAGTGTAAGGAGGGATTTTACCTATCTTCCTATCTGCGGGTGATATAATTAAAGTGAAAAGATAGTATCTGAAACTTTAGAGGGAGAACTATTATCCTGAACCTCATTTTGACCAATGAGGAGAAGTGACTTGCTTATATGTTTGTCTTTCTTTCTTCTTTCTGTCCTTCAAGGGGGCCTTTGGGTACATAGAATTTAGTTGATCATTCTAGCATGCTATTTTCATTGGTATCCATGTTTTTTGTTTTGTTATTTTCCACCTTATTCCCACATTCCTAATCCCAGTCATGTTCCCCATAGACATACTCTCTCTTATTTATGTGTCTCCTTCCATATTTCTATTCTTCCTTCAATAAAGTAATCATTGACCCTTGACTCCTTTCTCTCTCTCACTCCCTACATTCAATCTCTAAGCAAATCATGTCAATCATATCTTCAATATATCCAGATCCTGATCACTTCTTGCAACCTTTACCTCTACCACACTAACCTAAGTCACCCACATTTCTTGCCAGGACTCTTGGAATAGCCCCCTAATTAGTCTTGCTCCGTGCGCCTTGGTGGCTCCTATTTTTCTCCAAAACAGCCCTCATGAACTTTTTCACATAGTGCTGTCCGGTAGAACTTTCTTCAAGGATGGCAATTTTCTACGTGCTGTTCAAAATAGCAGCCACTAGCTGCATTGAGCATTTGAAATGTGGCACTGAAATTTATATTTTATTTTAGTTAACTTAAATGTAAGTAGCTATACATGACTAGTGGCTATC